GCTTGGTAAGAAATGTACGCATTATCCTGCCCATGCAATTGTAACCCCTCTGTACAGTATGTTCACAAATAAAATAAAATTAAAAAAAAAAGAAAGAAACATGAACCTATTGATTTTGCAAATGATGACTTAGGTAGATTGTGTGTGTGTGTGTGTGTGTGTGTGTGAGTGAACATGAACCTATTGATTTTGCAAATGATGACTTAGGTAGATTGTGTGTGTGTGTGTGTGTGTGTGTGTGTGTGTGTGTGTGTGTGTGAACATGAACTATTGATTTTGCAAATGATGACTTAGGTAGATTGTGTGTGTGTATGAACATGAACCTATTGATTTTGCAAATGATGGCCTAGAGAGAGAGAGAGAGTGTGTGTGTGTGTGTGTGTGTGTCTTGCTAGGGATGCTAACAAATCCAGGGCCTCGTACCTTACCACTGAGCTACATTCCTAGTCATTGACTTTTTTGTTTTTGTTTTGTGACAGGATAGCACTACATAGCTTAGACTGGCCTTGACTCAGTGTGTACCTTAGGCTGGCTTGGACTACATTCTCCATTCTCCTGTCTCTACTTCCCAAGTACTGGGATCTGGGATGATAGGCATATGCCATCATAATTGACGTCTATCATTTTTTATATTGAATATACAGAGAAATCTGAGGCTGTACTTACCTAGTCTCCATGTGAATTGTTGAATTTTCTCCCTGAGGGATTTTTTTCTTTTGAAGTTTTAAGATATCTGATCATGTCAGTATTAATAGCTGCTGTTAAATTTTGGATTTACTTCTATTTTTCCCCACTCTTCTAATTCTATACCAGTTATCCTTAGATTGGAACATATATGTATTCTTTCTCCCCCTCCCCGCCCCCACCCCCCAACCCCAGTCCTAGGGCTAGAACTCAGGGCCTGGGTGCTGTCCCTGAGCCTCTTTGTGCTCAAGGCTAGCACTCTACCACTTGAGCCACAGCACCACTTCCAGCTTTTTCTGAGTAGTTTATTGGAAACAATAAAGAGTCTCACAGACTTTTCTACCCGGTCTGGCTTTGAATTGTGATCCTCAGATCTCATCCTCCTGAGTAGCTAGGATTATAGGTGTGAGCCACACCCAGTCACATATGTATTATTTCTTATCCACTGTTTTTTAATTGCTTTAATATTCAATCTTTTTCTATTCATCATCATAGTTGTTATGGGCACTGGAGATACAGTTAAAGGCCAAACAAACAAGATAACTGTTCCAATAAAGGGATATGTTCTAGGAAGGATAGACAAGCAGTAAAAAAAAGTTTAGAGGCAGGTTATAGATGATGATGCCAGGAAATGGTTAAGTGGGTACCAGAGACAGCACAGTCTGGGTTAGATATGAGTCTGTGTTTCCTTAGCTTTTCAAGCTCTGTTTTCATTTTACCCCCATGTTCTTTGAATTCTGTGCAGGTGTGGGTGTACACATGCATGCACATGCACATATACACTGACTCTGGGACTTAAACTCAGGGCCTGGGTGCTGTCCCTAAGCTTTTTTGCTCAAAGTTAACACTACCACTTGGGCCACAGCTCTACTTCTGGATATAAGAGTCTCACAAACTTTTCTATCCAGGCTGACTTTGACCTACAATTGTAGATCTCAGCCTCCTGAGTAGCCAGGATTACAGGCACGAACCACCAGTACCACTTGGCACTTTGAAATCTTTTGATTCTGCTATTCTCAGGATGCTCTTAAATTGGTTGCTTATAGTTATTTCAGAACAAGTATAAGGAGAGTCTCTTTTAGGGTGATGAAGATGTTTCAAAGTTGATTGTGGTGACAGTTGTGCAACTCATGAATATACTGAAACAACCATTTAATCCTATGCTCCAAATAGGTGCTATATGGATGGTGTGAAAGGGAAGGGATATAAAAAGAGTGAGCTTTTGGCTGGGAAGTTGGCTCAGTGGTAGAGCGCTTGCCTTGCATGCCTGAGGCCCTGGGTTCGATTCCTCAGCACCACATAAGCAAAAAAAAAAAGCCGGAAGTGGCACTGTGGCTCAAGTGGTAGAGCGCTAGCCTTGAGCTGAAGAGCTGAGGGACAGCGCCCAGTCCCAGAGTTCAGGCCCCATGACCGGATCCAAAAAAAAGAGTGAGCTTGAGTTTCTTATTTTCAGCCCTCAGTAATCTTAGTAGGGTAACCTGTGGGGTCCTTGTGGCCACCAGGAATAAAAAGCTGTGCAGAGGCTGGGAATGTGGCTTTAGTGTTAGAGTGCTTTCCTAGTATACATGAAGCCCTGGGTTCTGTTTTTCAGTACCACATTAACAGAAAAAGCTGGAAGTAGTGCTGTGTCTCAAGTGGTAGAGTGCTAGCTTTGAGAAAAAGAAGCTTAGGCCCTGAGTTCAAGCCCCAAGACTGCAGAAGAAGGAAGGAGGAGAGAGAAGAAGGAAGGGGAGGAAGAGGAGCTGTGCAGAAGTACAGTCCCTCCTTTCTCATGGTGGTTGCCGCCACCATGTTGTTTGCTTTCCCTGAAGGCAGTTGTTATACATTTGTGTGGAACAGATTCACTTCCGCCTGCTCTGTTTATTCAATTTGATCTTTTTGACTGCTCTTTTATGATTCTTAAAGGAATAATTAACATGTGAGCCTTTAAAGTCTCACTTGCTTTCCTCATGTTTTTTACTTATGGGCCCATGGAAAACACCCAGATCATTCTATACCACGTCCCCAGGCAAATATAGCAATTGTGTTCAGTAAATCCTTGGGTGAATGATTAGTGCTGAACATACATTAGGTTGCTTGGGCAAATTGTGGAGTCTCATTGGCACAACCCCTGCCTCGGCACAGCTTCCTTTCTCCTCTTTTTTTTTAATTCTTTTACATTCATCTGCTATGTTCATGTAGAACTTAGAGAAAAGACAGTTTTAGAGCAGTGATCACTGATTATTTTTCTCCTCTCCCAGGCTGTGGTTATTATGGGTGTGGTACTACAAGGCGCCAACCTGTACGGTTACATCAGGTGTAAAGTGGGCAGCAGGAAGAACTTAACTAGCATGGCTACCTCGTATCTTGGAAAGCAATTTTTAAGACAAGTAAGTGTTTTCTGGATGTGACTGATTACTAATACAATGTTGTCTGATTCTCTTAGCGTTCAGTTTTTTTAAATGCTTAAGAGGTTTTATTCTTATTATTAGAGAGGTGATGTATAAAGGTGTTACAATTACATAAGTAAAGAGTACATTTCTTTTTGGACAGTGTCACCCCTTCCCTCACTCTCTCTGTTTTTCCCTACTATCCCCACCCACAAGTTATACAGTTTCATTATGTACTCTGCTGCATAAGGTTACTCTGTGTTCCTCCATTTCTGTGCCCCCTCTTAACTACCCCATAAGGTTTATCTTTTAAGCTTTTTTTTTTATTGTAAAGATACTATACAGAGGGTTACAGTTACATGAGTGAGGTAATGAGTACACTTCCTCTTGAACATTGTTACCCCCTCCATTGTTTTCCCCCTACCATCCCCTCCCTCCCTCCCTTCCCCGAGGTTCTTTTTTTTTATTGTGATTAAGTGATTACATAATTTCCGGAATTTCAC